CTTAGACGTACCTGATGCGGAGTCCCCTATGGGTCATCATCTCAGTAGCTGCGTTCTCTCCTAAGATTTACAAAGCTTTAGCCATCTCCCGACGCGTCGTCCCCTATGGGTCAGCGCACCGGTGGCAGATGAGCTCCTCACTCAGCTTTACAAAGCTTAGACGCACCTGACGCGGAGTCCCCTGTGGGTGATCGCCTCGGTAGCTACATTCCCTCCTAAGCTTTACAAAGCTTTAGCCATCGCCCAATGCATCCTCCCATATGTGTCAGCGCACCGGTGACAGATGAGCTCCTTACTCAGCTTTACAAAGTTTAGACGCACCAGATGCGGAGTCCCCTGTAGGTCATTGCCTCAACAGCTGCGTTCCCTCCTAAGCTTTACAAAGCTTTAGACATCTCTCAACGTGTCATCCCCTGTGCGTCAGGGCACCGATGGCAGATGAGCCCCTCACTCAACTTTACAAAGCTTAGACGCACCTGACGTGGAGTTCCCTATGGGTCATCGCCTCGGTAGCTGCGTTCCCTCCTAAGGTTTACAAAGCTTTAGCCATCTCCCGACGCATCGTCCCCTGTCGATCAGCGCACCGGTGGCAGATGAGCTCCTCACTCAGCTTTATGAAGCTTAGACGCACCTGACGTGGAATCCCCTGTGGGTCATCGCCTCGGTAGCTGCGTTCCCTCCTAAGCTTTACAAAGCTTTAGCCATCTCCTAACGCGTCCTCCCCTGTGGGTCAGCGCACCGGTGGTAGATGAGTTCCTCACTCAGCTTTACGAAGCTTAGACGCACCTGACGCGGAATCCCCTGTGGGTCATCGCCTCGGTAGCTGCATTCCCTCCTAAGCTTTACAAAGCTTTAGTCATCTCCTAACGCGTCCTCCCCTGTGGGTCAGCGCACCGGTGGCAGATGAGTTCCTCACTCAGCTTTACAAAGTTTAGATACACCTGACGTGAATTTCCCTGTGGGTCATCGACTCGGTAGTTGCGTTCTCCCCTAAGCTTTACAAAGCTTTAGCCATCTCCCAACGTGTCGTCCCCTGTAGGTCAGCGCATCGGTGGCAAATGAGCTTCTCACTCAGCTTTACAAAGTCTAGACGCACCTGACGTGGATTCCCCTGTGGGTCATCGACTCGGTAGTTGCGTTCCCTCCTAAGCTTTACAAAGCTTTAGCCATCTCCCAACGTCTCATCCCCTGTAGGTTAGCGCATCGGTGGCAGATGAACTTCTCACTCAGCTTTACAAAGTTTAGACGCACTTGACGCGGAGTCCCCTGTTGGTCATCGCCTCGGTAGCTGTGTCTCTCCCTAAGCTTTACAAAGATTTAGCCGTCTCCTAACGTACCGTCCTATTGGCCAGCACATCGGTTACAGATAAGCTCCTTCCTTAGGCAATAATGAAGCTTTAGCGCGTCTGTCGAAGATATGTCCCGATCTTCATCTCTTTAGTGAACACCAAAAACCAACTCCCAAGCTCTCACAAATCGCGGTTCCTATCCTGAGACAAGCATACCCGATCGGAAAAACAAATTCATCCATGATATAAATATTCATGCCTGAACTTGGGGGGACCACTGTTACGCCCCTATTTGAACCACTTTGAAAAGTCTGTCATTGCGTTATACGAGGTGTCCAACACCTATTCGAAGTGGTTCCAAAGTGACTCCACCACTAATGTTGGTGAGCTGCTAACGTGCTGCGAGACATAAACAATTCTACTTCCAACTGAAGCGTTCTTGCCTCTGACGTCGAAGCGCAATTCACTCCAAGGATCTACGTTAGAGGATCCGCTGCCAATTTCAGAAAGAGATCTATGTCAAGATCCTTTCTACCCCCAATGTTTAATTGGTTTGACATCTCCATGGGCCTAGTTGATGTGACGTATCAACTTTATGTCAACTGAACTCAGGAGAAGTTATTACCCGCTCACTCTATAGACGCGACTGAATAACGCCTATGAGCAGACGCCTCACACTGTCAAATGTATACACATGTCCCACATCTAACGGTTCTCCTCAACTATAAATACCCAAGGTTTGACAAGAGACAAAGGTAATGAAACTCTTACAACTTAGCTCTCCATGACAAGTAAATATATATTCTCCTCCCTACCCTTTTTGCACAACCTTGGCACTGTTTCGATCACCAGAAGCAAACTTAACCGTCGGAGTGTATGCGGCCGCCGCCACCCCACTGGTTCTAGCCGTGTGCATCTGACCGTGCGTTGACTGTGCGCAAGGAGGATTAAGTGGAGCAGCTATCGGTTAGCCACGTGGAGGGTCCAATTCGCGAGGTCAACAATAATTATAATATCATCTTCACTTATAAACATCAAACTATCAAGAGTAATTGACAAATAAATTATGTATTTTAGTGCTCAAAATACCATAATGTTTGATAACTATGGTGACTATCAAACAACGTTAATCGAACATTAATTACATAAACAAAATATTTATCTAAATATTCATCAAAACTTTTGAATATATCACCTTTCATCCCAATTAATTCTTGTAAAATAATTACCACCTAATGTTTATTAGTGATTGAAGATTAATAAACAAGGTAAGGAAAGTACAAACCTCACCTCGAGGCTGGAGCCGCGGATAAGCTAATGGATTAGGCCAATTCTTATAATTTATGGATTAGCACGCGGGTTCCATTCCAATGCATTAGGCTAGTTGTTTTATTAAACTTGCATTTTGAATGATTAATAATGACGAACGAGAAAACACAGCCGAAATACTGGACTTTGAATGGCTGTCTCTTTGCTTTCCAGCCAATTGCGGTAACCTGATTAACTTAATGGATTTCATCAAGCAGAAAATCGCTGTCGTGGATAAATGGGAATGGAATAAGTATAAAACATTAATCTTTAAGGGACATTGGCTCTGATAGTACATGTAAGCAATTAACCCAAATACCAAGATCTTAGAATTTTATGATTTTCATGATCATTGATCTGTGACAATTAATTGAAGATTTAGACCTACAAAAATAAGAGAAACAAGAAAATAAGAAACGATTCTCCCTTCTCCTCTCTATAATTTAATGTATTAATTGATGAGTTTTTTTCACGTTTATAGACAGAGAGACAGTTTCATGGGCTATTAAAATAACAATCCACTTTCCATCAAAGTGGACAATTATAAAACTGTTACTTCTCAATCAGCCAATTTGATTTTTGTAATAAATGAACCACTTTAATTAATGGAAAAATTTCATAACTAAGAGGTTAAGTATCACCATTTCAAAACCAAGAACAAATATTTCAAATTTCAAAAATCACTTTTTTATTAAAATTTACTTATGATTTAATTAATCATATATTTTATTAATTTAATATATTAAGGTCCAAATTTATACAATTTGATCACAAATTAACGATTTAGTTAATCATATACTATTTTTCGATCACGAATCAAACATTTCATATATCACAATTTGTTCATCAATCACAAATAAAAAAATTAAGTTACAATTTATTTATTAGTCATAAATCATAAATTTTATAAGTCATAATTTATTATACAGTAAAAAATTATCAAATTAGTAATCACAAATTAACAAAATTTTAGGTCACAAATTATTTGTTTGACACAATTTATCCTTTTAATTGGTCACACATTATTTATTGTTCACGAATTAGTCAATTTAATGGTTCTAATCAACCAAATCATTTGGGACCACCACTAATACTTGTGACTACCACCTCACAACTGTCGTCAGTCGCAACGCCATCAAAACTGCCACGCACCAGAACCACCACCACCACCACACCCACAACATCACAGTAATGCCATCGCCACTGTCACACCCACAACATCATAGAACCACCACCGCTATACCTACAGCATCACAGTACTCACCACACCACCACCGCCATCTTAACCATTCAAACAAACCAACACCAACTACCAAAAACCACCACTATTTCACATAATTATCGTTAACTACCACAGTCATCTCACTCATAGCCACTAACAAAGTCAGCACCTCACCACCATCATCACCTCATTGTCAACACCACCACTACAAGCAGCACCACCACCAAATACATCATCACTACATCCCATCTCGACAACCGCCTCCTCCAACAACCAACCACCACCACCACCTCCACCTCTACCCTTACTTGCAACTCCAATCAACCACCTCATCATTACCACCATTATATGCTAGAATCCACCATCATACAACCACACCACAGCAACCGCCCTCACCAACGAATTCTTCAAACCCGCAACAATCACCTACAACACAACAAAATCCCCAAACCCGCAACAATCACCAAAAACAAGCCAAAACCCCGGTTGAGTACAGCGGCACAGAGAGTGACGTTGCGGCTTGGGAGTACTGCAGTAGTGAGGTGCTGCGAATAGCGACTGTCACAGGTAGCGTGCAACTTCTGTCACATATAGAGAATGGAGAAGAGATGAGAGGAAAGGGGGAGAGAGAGAGAGAGAGAAGAGGTGGTGGTGCTGGCGGCACGTGGCGGTGACGACCGTGGGTATTGTCTGCTTCTCACCGTGTATAGATGCTAGAGAGGCGGTCGGAAATGAAAAGGGTAAAGAGAGATTTGGGGGATTGAATTAGGGTTTGTTGCTAGGTGAAGTGAGTGTGGGAGATTAATTTTATTTAATAATATTATCAGTATTAAAATATTGAATTAATATATCTGATTTTTGTATAAATAAACTTTAGATCTGATTAGTGAAGTTAGTTTTCAGAAAAATATAGTTGGATGTAATTTTCACTTAATTAATTATCTAATAGCCACGAAATTAATTGGTTTTACAGTGTAAACAGGATCCTCATTATCTCAGGACCCCTTTTGATATCTTTTTATCCAGAAAGTTTGCAGAAAATTTATTTATCATCTGAGCTATAATTACTACATATTGCAGGACTTCTATTAATATGTCATGTATGGTTCTTTTCTTTCCTTAATTGTAGAGGTTTGATTGTTTGAAATAAGTTCTGAAAGAGTGATTATGTACGTTTGCAGACATATCGATCTTTCTTATAATAACTTCTACAAGAGTTCTGTCCCACCAAATTGTCAGGAATCTCTGTAAGCCTCAATTTTTCACGTGCTTGCTTTCTATTTGCTTCTTGAGACTTGACGGCTTTAATTTATTTTCTTCTTTTCTTTATGCATCAGAAACTTGTTCAGAAGCTTCAGTACAGGAAACAGTTCGTAAGTTATTAGTTTCTTCTTATATATTTTATAAGATTATTATAATTTTAACTTGTCTTTGTATATCCATTATCTTATAACTCATTTCCCCCCCTCAACACGACTAAATACAGAGAACTTGGGAAGTGCCTCAGTCCTTGTAGAAAGAGTAAGTGCTCCATTTACACATTAAGCCTTGTGTTAAAACTTGGGGTCATCTTAATAAGGCCAACCTTATTAAATAGAGAAGCCCAAGATCTTTATAATTTGGTATTTATTTTGGTATTAAACCGATGTGGGATAACACATCCGTTAACAGGCCCCCTTCAAAATGGTGACTCATTTGAGCAAACTAACCTTGAAATTCACGGGATAGCTCTAATTCATGTTAAGACTTGGGGTCCATTTTAATAAGGTCAACCTTATTAAGAGGAGTAGTCCAAAATCTTTTTAAATTGATCAATATTTCGGTATTTAACCGATGTGAAATTTTTATCTCTTAGCAATCTGTTGGTCATTAATTGAGACTTCTAATCGGATCAAATCGCTCGTTGGAGCTTAATAGACTCTAATACCATATTAAGATTTGAGGTTCATCTTAATAAGGTCAACCTTATTAAATGGAGAAGTCCAAGGTCTTTATAAATTGGTATTTATTTCGGTGTTAAACCAATGTGGGATAACACATTCGTTAACACCTTGATTACTTGCTTGAATCTCTTCATCCAAGCATTTCTGCATGGTATACCGTCAACGTCTTTCTGTACTCGTTGACAACTAAAATGTAGAAGGAATGCAGTTGTAATTTTCTTTTATTAACGGACTCTATTTTGAGCAAAAAAATTTATACATAGCATACGGTTACAGTACTTTATTTTTACATTCCAAGATTAACATCGTAAACCATTTAATTTGCTTTGGTTTTTCCCAGAGTGGTATTCGTTTCATGTAAATTGTGGTGGAAAGGAAGCTTCCGTTGGAAATGTAATTTTTGAAGCTGATGAAGAATCAGCAGGTTTAGCAAAATTTGTACACTCGAAAGAGTACTGGGGAAGTAGTAGTACAGGATACTTTATGGACCGTAACATATCGATTAATGAGTATACGACAAATAATGTGACCGTGCTCAAAGTGAATGACTCTGAACTCTATACGAGTGCCCGTCTTTCTCCTTTATCTCTCACTTATTATGGGCGTTGCTTAGCAAATGGAAACTACACTGTGACGCTTCACTTTGCAGAGATAATTTTCAGAAATAATCGCTCTTTTCAGAGTCTTGGAAGACGGATGTTTGATGTTTATATCCAGGTCAAGTAATGAATAAGCAGTTTTTAGTGCCATTTATGGTTGCAATTTGACTCGACTTGTGTATCTTAATACAGGGTGACAGGAAATTGAAAGATTTTGATATTGAAAAAGAAGCAAAAGGAGTTGACCAAGTTGTAAAACAAAAATTTAAAGCCACGGTAAATAATAGAACTCTGGAGATTCGGTTTCACCATTCTGGGAAAGGATCAACAGCCGTACCTATTCGAGGCACGTATGGCCCTTTGATATCTGCTATATCTGTTGAATCGGGTATGATAATCTGACAAATACCTTTCAATTATCATGCAACACCTCTATATTTCTCTCAAGTTTCATGTACCAATCCTTTATGCAATTTCTTCTGGTGCTAAGCAAAACTGAGCACCATCTAACAATGCGTTTCTTTCTTTCTTCCACTCTATAGATTTTCATCCTTACTCAGAAGGCAAAAAGAAGATTTTCATTGCAACAGGAGCAGCGGCTTTGGCATTTTTTCTTATCCTCATTATTCTTTGCTTTTCTTGGTGGAAAGGGTACATCGGAGGCAGGGTCTCAAGGGAACAAGGTGATGTGGAATAATAAATAGAACTTTCCAGTATCTCAACAAGAATTTATATTCCAAAATTGTCGTATATTTCCATTATGGAACATGAGCAGTTTCTCAATCTCATGTAGCTTAAGTAGATTTAACACCTGAAATATATTCTTTTCCAGAACTAAGAGGATTAGATTTGCGGACTGGATTTTTCACTTTTAGACAAATCAAAGCTGCTACAAACAAAATTGGGGAAGGTGGTTTTGGATCTGTCTTCAAGGTACATAGCAATAATGAACTTCCATTTTTGTCTTCTTGTACTTTCTTTTATGTGTTAATACTATGATGTTTCATTTGCAGCGTAATAATGAACTTTCATTTTTGTCTTCTTGTACTTTCTTTGTGTGTTAATACTATGATGTTTCATTTGCAGGGTGTACTCTTGGATGGCAGTTTAGTTGCTGTCAAGCAGCTGTCTTCCAAATCAAAGCAAGGCAACCGTGAATTTGTGAATGAAATAGGCATGATTTCTGGTTTACAGCATCCAAATCTTGTAAAATTGTATGGATGTTGCATTGAAGGAAACCAATTACTGCTAGTGTATGAATACATGGAGAACAATAGCCTTGCTCGCGCTTTGTTTGGTAATTGAACTTCTTACCTGCACTGTGCATTTTTTAGTTCAAAAGTTGTATTACCAGATCATTTTGTATTATCTTATGCACGTGTATGATTGTATCTAATTATCAAGTATAGGATTAGAGGAACAGCAAATAGAAATGGACTGGCCAACCAGAAAAAGAATTTGTGTTGGGATAGCAAAAGGCTTAGCTTTTCTGCACGAAGAATCAACATTGAAAATTGTCCATAGAGACATTAAAGCCAATAATGTTCTTCTTGACAAAGATCTAAATCCAAAGATTTCAGATTTTGGTTTAGCCAAACTTGACGAAGATGATAACACGCACATCAGCACTAGAGTTGCTGGGACTGTGTGAGTTTCTTTTCTCTCTTTCTCTCTCTTCTTCTTCTTCTTTCTTTTTATTTTTATTTTTTATGTTTCGTTATTTAGTTGAGAAATATATGTCCACACAAATAAGTAACGTATTTCTAACTTTGACCGATAAAAAACACTTATTGTAAAACTTAATTATTTTACTTAATAACTTTTTAAGCTTAGCCTGTTTGCTCACAACTTGACAGATGCACTTAAAAACCTCTGGGAATATCTTAATTCCTCAGTATTATGTTAATTAGCGGGGAAAAAAAATCAACTCGTGTAATATTTGCGGGGAAAAAAAATCAACTCGTGTAATATTTGAACAACTTCTTATGTGAGAAATAGGAGTGAAAAGCTTTTGTATGATTCACAATTGATGATTTTCATTTTGCAGTGGGTACATGGCTCCTGAATATGCAATGTGGGGTTACTTAACCTACAAAGTAGATGTGTACAGTTTTGGTGTTGTTGCACTAGAAATTGTTGCTGGAAAGAACAACATGAAATATCGCCCCAATGAAAATTTCGTTTGCCTTCTTGATTGGGTAAGAAATTTGTATGTTCTGCCCATCAGAAGATGGGAGTTTTGTTTCTGTTTTAGTTCTTATTCTCATCTCCTTTTGTCTTAGGCGATGGTTTTACAAAACAAAGGGAGGCTCATGGAGCTAGTCGATCCGAGGTTGGGTTCTAATTTCGATAAAGAAGAGGCAGAAAGAATGATCAAAGTTGCTCTGTTGTGCACTAATCCATCTCCGGCACTGAGGCCTACCATGTCCACGGTATGTGGCATGCTTGAAGGTTATATAAATATTCAGGAGTTTAAAATGGATCCAAGCATCTATGAAGATGAATTGAAGCTTCAAGCACTCAGAGAGAAATTTCAAGACTTTCAACTTAATTCAAGTGAAACTCGGAGCCTCATTCATCCGTCTGATGCTCCGGCAACTGGCTCGTCTTTTTCATCTGCTCGAGATCCCTAATCAGACAGCCTTAAATGATTTTCTCTCTTTCTTAGTATCGTCTAGTATGCAGTTTCTGTTGGAATAATTAATAATTCCATATGTGGGCTTCACATTCGATTGCAAAATTTTATGGGTTAGATATATGGCTCATAATGATAATTGTGTTTGAGCCAAATTTATTAAGTGATCAATTGGACCTTTTACACTTTACGGGTTGTAATTAATTTGATGTGGTAATTTAAAGTATGTGGGCCGGAAATAAACCCTAATCAGAATTCTAGTCGTAATGGGACGGCTCAAATTATTTCCTATATATAAAGGCTAGGTCCCCTCTCCTCTCTATATATATGTTTTCATTAGCTTGCCCCATTGATAGCTAATACTTTTGTGAAGAGCTAGGAGGGAAAGATCTCGTCTACTATTACAACTATAATTCATATCAACAATGGCTTCCGCAGGTATGAAATTCGTTTCTATTAAATTTATTGGATTGTGATTATCGATTCTTAACATGATTAAAACTAAAGACTAACAATTGGTATCAGAGCCTTCATGTTAAGATCGAAATCCTTCATGAAATATTTTTTTAATTCAAGTTTCTGTGCATATATATTTTCGTATGCATATGTGTATAATTAAGTAAAGAAGCCGAAAACGTAAGATCAGTTCTTCCGCATAGACACACAGGAGTATTGTGTGCGCATTTTATTTTTATTTTTTGCAATATTATGCATATCCAAAGTCAATTACTTGGTTTTGGGTGATTGTAAAGCTCTCAAAGAAGCCATGGCTTTAGACCATCCAAAATCCATGATTCCGCTACTAAATTAAATTAAAGTGCTTGCCTTCCCTAAAGCTTAGACCACCACATCATCACCGTCGCCGGTCTCTAAATAGGGCCACTGTCATACGCACAAATAATAACAATAATAATAATAATGTTACATAGTAGATCGATGGCAGCCTGTTGTTGCCGCACAGGTTGTAGCGCCCGATGCCGCCAGCTCCGTAGAAATTTTATTTTATTTTTCAATTTCTATAGAAAACGGGCCAAATGTAGACGGGGGCTTCTACCGTAAATAACTAATCTTCAAACCCCTGTTTGCAATTAACAGTTGGGTGTCATATTGCAATTACTCAAGTTAGGACCTGTCACGCAATTTTTGAGTAGTGAAGGACCTGTTTTTAATTTTGGTGTAAGATATAATTTTTCCAAGGGGCTTTTAATTTGAACCTTTAAAAGTTTGACCCTAAGATTTCAATTTTGACCCAATTAAAATTTTTATTTGAACTTGACCCGATTAAAATTATATATTGAATAAATAATAAAATTAATTGACGACTTTTGTATTGTTTCATTAAAATGTTATGTATTGTCATTATTTATGCATTAAATTTCATTTTAAAATTTTGTTACCAATTTCGTCTCTCAATGTTAATCACATATGGATTTCTTATCTTTTATCAATTAATGATCATGATTTGTTGCATAATTTTTGTTTTGTGATTAGATTCTTTATGGGTTTTGAGACGATTCTTGTTTTTCCCACTATAAGAGAAATGTTTTGAAATAAATATGATGTGTTTTAAGAGTACCTTATAGCATGTTGTATTGTCGACCCAAAGGTGACTTTATGATGATGCACCTAGGCTCTTACCGTAATAAAATTCATATGTTTCGATTTAAATTACGGATTATCTAATTAATAGCCTATATTAATTAGTTGGCTATTTCATCATCCATTTGATTGCATGCATTAAGTTTGGATGATATTAAGAGTGATATTTTATATTTCCACAGTTTATAATGCCTCATCTCTTTCGAATCAATTGTCTGCTATTGAAACTTTGACTGGAAATAACTATGTGAAATGGAAACGAGACGTAGAAATATCACTTGGTCTTTTGGGCTTGGATTTTGCAATGGAGAAAAAACTTGAAAAACCCACAGATAATAGTACCATTGAATATGTAACCGAGCATGAAAAGTGGGAAAGGGCTAACAAACTCTGTTTGAAAATTATTAAGCGATCGATATCTGATTCCATTCTAGGTGCTATCCCTGATAATGAAAATGCCAAAAGTTTTATGGATGCCATCGGAGAAAAATTTATTGAGTCTGATAAAGCCGAAACTGCGGATCTTATGGATAAATTTATGAGCATGAAATATGCCGGTATAAGTGGTGTTAGGGAGCATGTCATGAAAATGATAAATATATCATCTAAGCTAAAGGCTCTTGACATTCCCATTGCGGAGCCTTTCCTGGTCTATCATGTTTTGAATAGCCTTCCTAACAAGTTTAATCAGCTTAAGGTTGCTTACAATGCTCAGCGGGATAAGTGGAATTTGAATGACCTCATAGCAGTGTGTGCCCAAGAAGAGTATAGGATGCGCCGTGAAACTGTTGAAACTGTGCAATTAGTTTTTCAACCATCACAGAATAAGGGGCCTTCTCATAATCATAAACCTAAGTTTCGTAAGGGTAATAAGTCCCACCGAAGTCAGCAGAATAAAAATCTTAGTGGTCCCAAAGCAGTTATAAAGAAAAATGATCGATGCAAGTTCTGTAAAAAGAAGGGTCACTGGCAGAAAGACTGTTTTAAGTTCAAAACTTGGTTGGAAAAAAAGAAGAGTTCTTCAGGTATTCCCTTGGCCTTAGTTTGTTTTGAGTCTTCTTTAGTAGATGTACCTTTGAATTCTTGGTGGTTAGACTCAGGAGCTAGTATTCATATTGCGAATTCCTTGCAGGGTTTCATAAGCAAACATAGGCCAAGTGAGAATGAAGTAAGCTTGAGCGTTGCAAATGGATTCCAAATGAAGGTTGAATTCATAAGAGTAGTGAAGTTACTTTAGAGTCTGATTTTTATCTTGTTTTGGAAAATACAGTTTATATACCGTAGATGAGACGGAATTTAATTTCTATACCAAAACTTGATACTTGTGGTTTTACATTTAATTTTGGTAATGGAATGGTTAAGTCATTTAATGATTCTCGTTTGATTGGAAATGGCATTTTATGTGATGGTTTATATAAATTATCTTTGGCTTCTTTTGATGATATCTCGTGTGTTACAAATGTATCAAAGAAAAGGGCTTTAATTCGTGAATCATCCTCTATGTTGTGGCATAAGCGATTGAGTCATATTTCTAAGGATAGAATGGAAAGATTAATAAAAGATGAAATACTTCCTTTCTTAGATTTCTCCGATTTTGACACTTGTATAGATTGTATAAGAGGAAAGTTAACTAAGTCTACGAGGAAGGGTTCGACTAGGAGTAATGGAATTTTGGATTTAATTCACACTGATATCGGTGGACCTTTGCTTTCCACTATATGTGGGAATAAATATTTCATAACTTTCATTGATGATTTCTCACGATATGGATATGTTTATTTGATTAACGACAAATCACATGCACTTGAGAAATTCAAAGTTTTCAAACTGGAAGTAGAGAAACAATGTGGGAAAAGTGTCAAAGTTGTAAGATCTGATCGAGGTGGTGAGTACTATGGGAAATATGACGAGTCTGGTCAAAATATGGGTGATTTTGCAAAATTTTTACAAGAGTGTGGAATAGTGCCCCAATACACCATGCCAGGGACACTTGAGCAGAATGGTGTTTCTGAAAGACGTAATCGAACTCTAAAAGATATGGTCAGAAGTATGATGAGTAGAACAAATTTGCTTGAATATTTGTGGGGTGAAGCCTTGAAAACAGCTATGTATATTTTGAACAGAGTTCCAAGTAAAGTTGTTGCAAAGACACCTTTTGAATTATGGACAGGACGTAAGTCAAGTATGGCTCACTTTAAAGTTTGGGGATGTCCAGCTGAGGTTAGGATTTATAATCCATTTGAAAAGAAATTAGACCCTAAATCAACTCCTGACTACTTTATTGTGTATCCGGATAGATCAAAGGGATATAAGTTTTACTGTCCAAATCTCGGCACTAGAATTGTGGAGTCCATTACTGCTAAGTTTCTGGAGAACGATTTTGGAAATAGTGGTAGTTCCACGTTGAGAGAAATTCTTGTTGAACCTAATCAAGTTGTTCTTCCAGTTTCCATCATACAGTAAAGAGTTGGTTCCCAACCAATTGAAGTTGTTAATGAAGAACCGAGGAACCAGGATGAATCTCCAATTCCTCAAACAACGATTGAATCGGTTCCTGAGCCACAAGTTAGGAGATCACAAAGGGAAAGAAGATCTGCATT